CCCTTGGTGGCCCCAGAGCTGCTTGAGTGGGACTCGGCAGCAAGACTGGAGGAGAGAGGCCAGGACGGGCGAGATGGGCTCCATTTACTAGTGTGTCTTTGAATAAAGTCTGTCTCCCTGGACATACCTGCCCCCAGTGCTGCCATTTCCTCTCAGTATCTGTTAAATGCATAAGTGAATGAATGAATGAATGGGTGGCTGAGTAAGTGAGAGGTGAAGGAAGGCTTTCCTTACTTGCTGGGAGCCCAGCTCCTCCATACAAGCGTGGTGGGGCTCATATGAGAACTAGCGTTTGCTTCCTGCTGTCTCTGCTTTTCAGAACAGGAAGAGCCCCCAGCCTCCCCCTCAGACCCCTTTTTGTGGGTCTTGGGGAAGATTTCAGTGCTCCGACCTCCCTCTCTCTATACTCTCCTGCTGCCTGTTGCCTAAGTCCTCTTGACCTGGTGCCTATTCCCTTCCCTGCAGTAGCTCAGCCTCCAGACACACACGCACAAGAAAACACCCTCTGCTCTACCTCACGGAATGACTGACTGTTTTAGTCAACCAAGGCTCAGAGCTGGGACTGCTGCTTCTCCTGGAACACCGTTACTCTACTGGCCAAGTCACCTGCATAGGCCCTCCCAGCATTGCAGTGACCCCTGACTGCCAAAAGAGTTCAGTGGATAGAGACACTTCCAGAAACACAAACTGGAGTCGCTCTTCCTGGTGGCCTTGGGAGAGCACCTAAGGGCTCGGAGCTCTCGGCAGCCGGGACAAGTCTCATTGGTGTGTCCATCTCTCTTCTCCCTCCTGGGGAGGTGGTTTTTGCCCACCTGACCGAAGTAGCAGGACTGCTCAGGGCTGGGTGCGCCACCTGTGTTCTGTGGCCAGTTTCCTTCTCAAGAGTTCAGGGCACAAGTTCCTATTCACATACGTGTGCCCTTCAAGACCACACCGTGCCCTCGGAGCTTGGGAATTCTGACACTGGGCCCCGAGGGACTTACTACCGGGTGTGTGTGTGAACAGCCCCACGTGGACGTCCTCCTTGGGTCACGTCTTGCCTTGTTATGGGAAGACTGCCTGCTTGTGGTAACCCTGACAGAGTAAAATGAGCCCCAGAAAAATATTCAGAGAATTTGAGCGATTCTTCTGCCTTGAACTCGATGATCCAAATCCTGCCGCAAAAACACTGGACAATTGTGGACCCAGAGCTCTCAGCCCTGCACAAGCAATGGAGACACCCTACCAATCTCAAGAATGTGCCGGAGGAGTCCTTTTCCCACTTTTGTAACCAGAGCTCATTGTTGGAAGGAAGGCTTTCGCATATTTTTATGTCCTTTGTGTTCCCTTCGGCAGAGGCAGACACATTTTCCTCAGCTTTTGATTTCTGGGAGATTTTAGGTTTTTCTCTTTTTGATGCTTCTGAAGTTATTTTAAAATTCTGGGTCCCCACAAGGTCTGGGGGGGGGATAATTGTGCAAGTTGAGATCTTGACCTACTGGGGTTTTCACGTGGTTACAGGAGAGGCTTCGCCCCATCGTACGACAGTTAAGACAGCAAGTACTTAGAGCACTCGCCGTGTGCCAGGCACCTGTAGATATAAACTCATTTCACCCCGGTCCCATTGGGTGGGCACTACTGCTATCACTATTTTTCAGATAGGGACCAGAGAGGAAGTAACCTGCCCAGAGACAACCAGTGACCCAGCAAAATGTGGCAGAGCTGATTCAGATTCAGTAATTCTGAAGCCTACACCCTTAACCACCCTGGCCTGCCTCCTCTGGATTAATTCAGAAAAGAAAGGAAAGAACCTACTCTTGAGTTCACGTGAGACCTTCCCCAAGACCATCTCCTGAGGAAATTGTTTTCACAAAAATCATGTGATGGGGTAGACCGCAGATTAAAACTTTTTTAAGTCTTTGGAAACTTTTTGTCTGGATTTGTACGATATCCTTGGTTCTTACAGAACTTCACCTCTGCTCAGCCTCCACAGGCACACTGAATGAAAGATGGGCGGTTTCCAGGCCTGAAACACCAGGGTGGGTAGAGGCCTCCGATCCCCAGCTCCACCCCATTCATGGATACTGAGGCTGTGTCCCCGTGTCTAGAGGACACCCAAGGACGAGCGACTCTCACGTTCAGAGCAAGACAGGGATGGAGGCTTAAGGAGAGGAAAGGAAACTTTGTATCAGAGCCAGTGAGGAACTGGAGAGGCCTCTTGGCCGGCATTGCTGGACGTTGGAGACAGGAACCATTTCTCCTTGTTTGACAGGAGTTACCAAAACTCCATCCATGGACCGCTTGTGTCATGGAAACATACTCCAAAGCCTTTGGCAAAGAGCCTGGGATGTTTGCTTCTTGTCCTATCACTCTGCTTCTCTCCTTGGCATGAGACCTGGGCACTGGGGTTTTCGAGGTGACCGAGGCGATTCCAGTGCAGAGTGAGGGCTGAGGACCACTGAGCCCTAGTCCAGGCCCCACCCTCGTTTTCTAGCGTGGGGATCTGGGACCCAGAGAGCGAGCTCAAGTCTGGTGACTCTCGGGCCACTCAGCTAAGAGATGTTATGCAAGACGGTGACCTGGGCGCAGGTGAGGGTGGTGGGAATCTGGCCTGTTGACGGAGATGAACGGAAACTGGGGCCATGCCTCCACCTGTGTAACTGATGTGTCAAAACGATGGCCTCTCAGCGTGCTTCCTGAGAGCTGGGAGCCCCTCCGGGTTCTCTTTAGGAAGGGAAGTGCTTGAACCCTCACCTACCCCTTTGCTCTGGACAAATATTTGGCCAGTGGAGCTCTGAGGCCAGGGTGCAGTGGACGCTCCCTGCCTGGGATGCCTTATCTCCTAGGTGTGGGTGCTGTACTTGCTCTGTTTGCTCTCTGCAAACTTTGTAGGTGGAGTGAGGCAGGCACTGGCTTTGCCCCGTGATTCATGCTGAATCTCGGCTTTCCACTGAGCAGGGCCTGGCACGCCTTTGAGGTGGCCCAACGATCAGTCCTGTGTGAAGGTCACCCTTCCTCAAGCCGCACTCCCTGCCCCTCCTTGTTCCCCAACCTCGTGCCAACTCACGGCCTTCCCAAGCCCTCACTGCTGCTGCAGCATCCTTTGGGCTTGGCATGTACCCTTTCCTCCCCTGGAAAGCCTCGTCCTGACCTTCTGGCCTAAGTCCACCTCTCCCTTCAAGACTCAGTTGGGGCCGTGTCCCAGTCGGGACTGCTTTGCCCAATCGTCCTGCGCTGTCACTGGCTGACTCTACGTCTGTCTGCACTGGGCTGCCGGCATCCTGGGTGAGCAGACTTCCCTCTGCTGTTGGGTGGTGAGGGGGCACAGGGCCAGAAGCTTCACACTCACGCCCACAGTTTCAGGCGGTTCACACCAGCCGGCAACGTGCGGAGTGAGCTGCCAGGTGCCATTTACAGTGGCAGAAGCCAGGGCCCGACAGGTGGAACCACATGCTACAGCATCCTCCAGCGGGTGCGGTGGAGAGGCCCTCTCACGCCGTGTGCCAGCAGCCCTCTGTTCCCAAGATGGGCAAGCCAGTTCCACCCTCTTCTCCATGCCACACTCTCGTGCCTTCTAAAGCCGTCTGTCTCAGCCATCGGCACGATCACATCCTTTTGTTAAGCGTCCCTTATGAAAAAGTCCCGGCAATCTGTTTGAACTTAAAGGCAACTATGGATGAATCTACACACACATCTTACTCTACAGCAGTCTGAGGATTTTTATTTAATCGATTTTGCTCCACTTATTGTAAGTTGGAAAGTATGTCCCACTGCCTCTCAGTCATCAGTAGAGAAATTTTCTGATCAGAGATGCCCACATATGATTCATCAGACCCAACTTGGTTTTGATAACTCCAGATTCTTCACTGATTTTCCTACCCAAATGTGATGGTCTCCTGAAGCTTCTCAGCTAAGAGGCTCAGAGAACACCTGGGGAAGTGCTATCTCTTACCCAGCAAGTGGGCAGCAGGTGCAGGGAGACAAGGTCAGGGTACTACATGCATTTACACCCCAGGGAATGCAGGGCTAGGAGGGCAGCCCGTCCTCAGCCCCCAGACCCTCAGGAGGATGGAGCTAAGCTCTGCAGTACCTTGGACCCTGTGACTATCTCCACCCGTGTCCCAGCCCAGTCCTTCTCTGGGTGGGGTCGGTGGAGGAGGCTGAGGTGACTTCACTGGGATGGAGAGGGACAAGGAGAATGGAAGACAAGTACAGGAAATCCCAGCTTGGGTTGTACCTTGTCCACAGGGGGAGCCGGACTATACCATTGAGATTATGAACCCCAAGTCTGTCCTTATGCTTCTCTTGAAAACATGGGGCTCCCTGACCCTGAGGACACCAAGTGGGATGTCTTCTGGATAAGGACAGGGGGAGGAACGCTTCTCCCACCTCTGAGGAGACCAGGCTGACCTGGGCCCTCCCCACTCCAACCCCATCTCCAAAAGTCAGAGAACTTCTGGGACTTGGGGATTTAAAGGTCAAGTTTTTTTCTTAAATGCTAATGATATAGTATGGCTAATTTGTTTTGCCAAGTAAAGACCAAAAGAATCAGCTGGCCACTACCATTTTATAAAAGAAAGAATATTTGGGGGAGTTTCCTGGTGGTGCAGTGGTTAGGACTCAGTGCTCTCACTGCCACGGCCCCGGGTTCAAGCCTTGGGTCACAAGCCGTGCAGCGTGGCCAAAACAAAACAAAAAAGATATTTGTCTATAAAAAATACCAGGAAGGATATAATCTCAGAGTTTGCCCTTCTACTAAAAAACCCTGGATGGCCTAAGTCCTTTCTAGGGGTAACACATTTTTTTTGGGGGGGGGGATAACAAATTTTTAATTCAAAGGTGCCTCTGTTTCCCCATCTCACAAATGGGTCAGTACCACACTCCCAGGGATCTTGTGAGGATTGACTGAGTTACCATTTACAGAGTGCCCCCGGTTCCCCAGAGTGACCTCTGGGTCTGGTCCTGCCTGGGTGTGGGCTCTCCTGGTCTGACCCTCACCCCTTCTCTCCCTCCCTCTGCAGGTCTTTGGGGGGCTGGTGTGGATCCTGATTGCCTCGTCCCATGTGCCCATCCCACTGATCCAGGGCTGGGTCATGTTCACATCTGTGTCTTGCTTCATAGCCACCACTCTACTGCTCTTCCTGTATCTAATTGGTGCCCACGGCAGCAGAACTTCCTGGATCACCCTGGTGAGTCCCGGTCCTGCGATGTTTGAGGTGGGGGTGGGGTGGGGTGCGGCATTGGAGCGTCGCCCCTGGTAGGTTGGCTTTGCCGGTGCTGGGTGAGGTGCCCCGTACACGTCTCCCACCCATGCGCCAAGGCTGAGCCGGGCAGGCCCTCAGATCCGAGCTGCCCATAGCAGCCCAGGGCTCCCCGCCGCAGGAGGTCGGGCAGAGGTGAAAGGCAGAAGCGGACTGTCACTGTCACCGCCTGATCCTCTGCGGGCCTGCTCTGCTTTCTCCCGGGTGAACGCCCTTTTCATGCAAACCGGCAGCCCAACAACCCTCCCTGTACCTCCTGCACCTGCCAGGGGCCAGCTGGCATCTCCCACCACCCAGAAGGGCTGGCTTCCATTTCGGGGGAGGGGACAGGGTGCTGGGGGCTGGTCCTGGCTGCCCAGCGTGAGGCCACGCTCACTGCCCAGCTCTCAGTCACCACCTTCTAGAGCAGGGTCACCAGAGAGGGACTTGGCGCAGGAAGAGGGAAGGCCTATGATCGCTCTTGCACATGAATTCTGCTTTGAGGCCCATGAAGGGGGTAAACTTACACGTGGGCCACCTGCCCTTACCTCCCCTGGAAGGGGGTGGGGCTGTTAGCCAGGCCTCTTAGTCTCAAAGGGCCTCCAACCTAGACCTTAGAAACCACCTCCAAATCGTAACTACTCAAAAACCTGTTCTAGCGCTTTTCTGCTTTTAAAACATACCTGGAGCCCCAATCCCTGGCTCCCCCCAAGAAAAAGCTAACAACAACACAACAGTGAAAACGGCCTGAGCCTCTCACTCTGTGTTGGCCACCAAGGCCACACCCGAACTGGGGACTGTGACTGCAGCTGACACTTCTCAGGTCCAGAACCAATTTCTACCAATCCCAAAGGGCCACCTCCCCACCCCTTACTAGATCCCACCTCAAGGGAAAGCAGTATCCTTCCTCCATCAAAGTCCTTACTCTGGCCCCAAACCAGTGAGATAACTCAGCTCGGCCGCTCTGGTTAATCAATGTCTCTGAGGAGGGGGGCTGGGTTGGGGGGTGTCAAAGGGAGTAGCAGATGATGACGGGGGACCGGGTCCTGGGGTGGGTCCCCCGTCATCTGAGGGGCGGACAGGCCCTGCTGGGACCACAGCTGCCCCACATCTCCATATCTGGGTGCCCCACCTGTCTAGTGGCCTTTTCTCACCCTGCAGGATGCAGCCTACCACTGTATCGCCTCCCTGTTTTACTTTGGTGCCTCTGTCCTGGAAGCTTTGGCCGCCATCGAGCTGCAAGTGGGCTTCACCTACAAACATTACCATGAAAACATCGCTGCTGTGGTGAGTCCCCAGTCAATTTGCCCTGTTCACAGCTCCCACTGAAAAGGTTCTGAGTGGAAGGCTGCCCGGGCCCTCCCACATTTTTTTAGTTCACTAAATTTTGAATAAAATAAACCTTCTCCTCATTTCTGAAGAAACAAAGCCTCAGAAAAGGGAAATGATGTGCCCCAGACTCCCTCAGCCATCAGTCAGTGCTGCACTGCCCAGGCCTGCACTGCCCAGGGGTCCAAGCCTGGTTGGGCTTTGAGGCAGATGCGGGAGGAGACATGACCGTGGGGCCTGGCACTGTCTTGGGCCCTTGTGAACAATCTTGCTTACCCCTCACGACACCGCTAGGAGGGAGGTGCCGTTATACCCATTTCACAGATGGAGAACTAGGGCCTTAAGAGCATGCACAACCTGCCCCAGGGTCACCCAAGGTCAAATGTGATGAAACACCACGAGATGTCCGCCCCAGGTGCCAAATCTGTGCCACCCCCGCCTCTCTTTGGGAAGGGTAGAGCAGAGGCTGAGAGAAAACCCACAGGGTAGGCGCAGTTGGGCTCTGGGAAGGGGGTTAGTGAGGGTGCCCTTCCTGTCCCCAGAGGGAGGGGTCTGGGGGAAAGCTCCTCAAAGCCTGTCTGCTGGTCCCCAGAGGCCCACCCCCTTCCCTGGGGAAGCCACACACTCCCCTCAGCTCCCAGCCGCTCTCCAGTTCCGTAAGCATGGCCACCTCCTGGTTCCTGGCATCCCCTCAAATGTCCCACCGTGTGGGACCCTCCCCCGTGTGGGCTCATCTCCCAAGGTGGCTGGTTCCTAACCAGGAGCACAGCCAGGCAGCACCTTGGGTGTTCTTCCCTCTCTTGGGAGACTGGTCATCTGCCTCCTCCGTCACCTTCAAATGACTATTTCATCGCCCCCTCACAAGAGAACCCACACACACCTCCCCCATCCCAAGCCCAGAAGCCTTGTCTCTGAACAGACATCAGCCAGGCATTTGACAATCGTTTCTGTAAAATTACTGCAGAAGAGGGCAGTGAAATGGAGATGGAATGTGGGTAGTGGGCCAGCCCTTGACTGAGCAACGCAGGAGCGGGGAGTGAATGACCTGCCCACTGGGCAGATATCTAGTTGGGAACCACTGGGCTCTACCAGGCTCTACCCTATTCTGACTTCTCCCTTTTACTTTCCATCAAAATGCAGCATAAACAGGCATCCAGGGAGGTGACCTGGAAGCACGGGTACAACCTGATGAATTCCCATAATGCACCCATGACTCATAGTTCACAAGCCCTCCGTGTAACAAAGCATCCAGGTTAGGAAACAACATGATAAGCAGCCCCTTCTTGTCCTGCTGCGGTCACTGGGCCCTGAACGGAGGATAAGCGCTGGCCTGGTTTCCAGCTCAGGTTCCACTTCCCCTGCTTTGCATTCTCACGAGCGTAATGTGCCTTCTCCCGTGTCTGGCTTCTCTCTCTTCGCCTCCAGTTCGTGAGGCTCCTCCACACTGCTGGGTGGGGATGCAGAAGTTCGTCCTCTGTGCTGTTCAGTGCTCCACTGAGGACTGTACCAACATCTATTTATCCCTGCCACGACGCATCACGTCCCCACGTCTCTGGGAGCTGAGCTGGAGAACCATGAGGAGGCCCAGGCAAAGTCAGCAGGGCTGGAACCAGGAATCCACATGTTGCCAGCGGACGGAAACGCTGGGCTGGAGCCCCCCGGGGGAAATATGGGCCCGGTTCAATGGAAACTCACGCCTTTCTGTTCAAAACATCAGTTTGTGTCCGTGCACATGGGAGACGGGATCATGACGACACGCTCAGGATTTAACCCCAGACCCTGCCCCACACCCACATGCCCCTCCCATAGTCTCAGGGTGGGGCGGGGCTGCGGCAGTCCGGGGATGTGACCTCCCGCACACCCCTGGCCTTTGGGAGCATCTGGCCTCCTCTCACCCCTCTGGGACTCCTCACCTGCCTCAAAAGCTGAGCTTCTCCCTCTCTCCTCGGCTGGCAGCAGAGAATCTGCACCAGAGGGATCCCTGGGATTGGTGAGAGTTGCCTGAGAGTAGCTGGAAATTTCTGGAGAAATCTAGAGGTTTCTGGATCTTAACTGTGGTGGGCAATAATGGCAGCTGTTCAGGGAGAGGGGTTTTTAAGGGCCTAAGTTCATGTCCATTCATGGCCCTGGCTCTCCATGTTCCGTGTGCCATTTCTTGACCCCCCTTTAAAGTAAGTGTTTCCTGTTCCTGTGGGGACTTCTGAGGTGCTCCTGCCAAGGGTCTCCATTGGGCTCGGAGTCCCCGACACAATACACTGCTCCCTCCTGATGCACAGGGGGGTCTTCGAGGGGCTTCTCACTCGTGTGTGACTGCTCCCTTCAGACAGGGTATTTGATTCCCAGATACATTTTCTTACCTTGGTTATTAAATAACTCAGGTTACCTACCGCCTCCGGCAGTGAGGGTGAGGGTTCGCCCAGGTGTGGAGGCAGCGGAAGAGCAGGCACAGTTACGGCTGGTTTTAGGGGAATTTTCAACAGTCACGGGAGTGTAGCCGCCCTGATGTTATGCCTGGGTTAGAAACTCCTGACCCTACACCCAAGGTCACAAGCCAGGTGCAGATATTTGCTTGGGAGCAGGCAGCCCTCAGGGCCGGCCACCCAGAGCAGGGCGATAGGACAGATGGTGCCCAGGTGCACGACGGCAGGTCAGAGCCTTGACAGGGCACAAGTGACCTTTGCCACATTCCCCAGCCTCTGCTCCCAGTAGTAGCTTTCTCAGGAAGCTCCCTCCTTTTGCCAAAAGCTCAAAATCCCTCCTCTCCATCCCAGTCCCTCACTTCCTGTGGCCTGGCTCCCTGGCCCATGCTTGTGCAATTCAGAATCTTAGAATAAAATTCTGGTCGGGGTCTGAACACGTCCAGGCGGCAAACACGTGTGTTCAGACTCTCTTAGCCGAGGCCGCTGGGATCACAGCTGGTGGACTCTGGTCTTACCGGTGTGCAGGCAGGAAGTTTTCCATGAAGAGCCCTTCAATCATCACTTGAAGTGTCTCTGAGGACCCTCGTTTCCAGTTGGATGGTACCAATATGATGATGTGTGACGGCAAATAGTTGCCCTTGCACACCAAGTTCAGTATATCATTAGGTCACCTGGAGTCTGTGCTGAGAGCATTCTGGGTCGCACCTAGGCTCTGCAGGAAAGCATATCTGCGTGTGTGATGGGAAGCAGTGGCAGTCCACAGACGTAAGGGCTGCCGATCGCTGCCGATCGCAAGCCATGCACGTGGTGACCCCAGTGTGCACCGCCCATGCCTTTCCCTCTCCCCATGCACGGCCATTAATTGTCACTTATCTTGCTTTCAGGTGTTTTCATTCGTAGTCACTCTGCTGTACGTGGTCCATGCAGTGTTTTCTTTAATCAGATGGAAGTCTTCCTAAAGCAGCAGAAGAACTTTAGCTGAAAACCAAGAGGGTTATTAACGGATCGGCCCGCCTTCCAGCATAACACTTTAGAATGCAGAAATGTTCCTGATAGTGGGTAAAGAAAGAGGTTTACGCTCCCATATACCTTCATGTCAGAGTAGGAGGCTTGCTACATTTATCCTCTGACTACTGAGCTGTCTTTCCAAGGTCGTTTCCTATTTGAAAGGGGGCAGTGGGAGTGGGAAGTGAGGAATGTGATCTGAGAGACCACAAAACTGGACTGCTGACTCCTGGACCGGATCGTGAGAACCGTCTACTGGAATTTTCCTCCGGCTCTTTTGAGTGTCCATCTTGCAGCAAGTTTCTCTGTCTTCAAGAATATTCTACCTGTCATGGGGAACAAAATTCACCCAACAAATACTTGCAGATGTCCACAGTGGGATGTGATAAACCTTTGAAATACTTTATAAAGTACCTTTATGTTCAATACTTTCATGGGGGTGTTTTTCAGTTTTTTGTTTTTTTTTTAATTCTCCAGTATAGAGAACACAATCATGTCAGCTTTCTGAGGAATCCTTGGTTTAGACCAAATCTCTGGAGGCAGCATCAAAGGGCAGTTCAGGTGACAGTGTGCCCAGCCACTGCATCTCAGAGAGACCACCGTGGGTATCCCATCCTCCCCAGGAACCAGGGAGGTCAGAGGGCTTCGCCATCTCTGGAAACTAACCAAGTACCAGCCTGGGTGACCCCTTCTTTTTCCTACAAAACAGAGGGGTGGGTCCGTGCTAAATTGGAAAATCCTTAAGCCAAAAGAAAACAGGGGCAGAAGTTTCTTCTGACTCTCTATGAAGCTGATCAGAAATTTTCTGGGCAGTATCTTCCATGTTCTATTCCCATTAGGAACGTGGATAAGAAACTGTTTTTAGAACTTCCTTGGACCACACTGTTGGAGAGAAAGGGGACCGGGCCACAGTGTGAAAGGAAGTAGTATGACAAGTGGCAGTGCTACCTTTCAGGTATGAGATGTCTGGGTCGGGAGGAGAAAGGATGATTAGGAAGGAGGGCACTCAGTAAGGAATCCTGAAAACTCCGCTCCCGTTACGAAATGCTCCTTCGTTAAAGGAAGGGAATGATGTTCTAGAGCTGGGACGCCAGAACAGGTGTCTCAGAAGCTGGTCACGTTCCAGCGTGGAGGTGCAGATGCAGAGGCTGCACGACTGCTGGCTGGCGGGCACGCAGAGCAAAGATGGAAGCCTCAAGCAGAGGTCTGACTAGTGGACGTGTTACTCCCCTTCCAACATGGGGACCCTGTGACTAAACTGGATCTCAGTGGTATCTTCAGGAGCTGTTATCCCAGGGTAATTGTACCAGAAAAGGCCACTTTCACCGAGTCCACTTAAATTTAAGGTAAAATTTTACATTATTAGGAGCAAAAGGTGATTGGGGCTATATCCTGAAAAATACAAGTTAAGAAATGATAGGAAGTTTGTCACGTGTTTAACAAAATTTGCTACCAGGTGTTGACTGAGGGAAGTCTACAATTTTTTCGTCACGCACCAAGATGCTAACAGAAGCTCACATTCGACCCCATCAAAAAAAAAAGAAACCAGAGGCTTAGTCGAATTTCCCAAGGGTTTCTCAGTGTTTTTTCAATTATCCTCTTTAAAGGAAATTTGATGTGCTCTTTCTCTATTTTCCCTTTTTCAGTTGGGAACTGTCTAATTCTAAACCCTCATTAATCCCAAGCTTTGCAGAAGATTCTCTGACATGACCTTCTCATTCCTTCTATCCTGAGTCATTTTTATAATTTGCAGTTTCACTGGGCATTTGATTTGCCTCCTCTTGCTTTGGGTGTAAGAAGGGTGGGCAGCCTCAAAAAATGCCCTCTCCTGGTCCTGTTTCCCTTTACCCAGACCACCCCGCCTCTCCCCACCCCCAGCAGACCCTGGTCCAGTCTCCCGGCCGGTACATCTCACTGCTCAGCTCCATCTGCATCCAGCTACTTAGGAAGTGTTTGCAGGTACAACTTCTGGCCAGTGGGCAGGGCTCCTTGCTAAGGGCAGTGCTCCCAGAAACCCACGTGGCCTGGGGAAGGGGGCATTTAAGAAGCCTGCTGGGCAACAGCAGAAAGGTCCTCCGATCACAGAGACTGGGCATCAACTGAGCACCTACTGTGTGCTGGGACCATTGGTCCCTCCAGGTGTGGGATGGTGTCTGCCCCCCAAAGCTTCTCGTGGCTGGCATGCCTCAGCTCTGCCTCTGGGTCTTGGGCAAAAGGGAACCTCCTACGGGGCACATCTGGCTGCCACCCCAAGGGCAGGTGGGACATGCCTTAGAGGTTGCCTGCTTGGTGGCCCTGACATGTTTGGAGCTCCTGGCTTGGGTCAGACACTGTGGAAGCACCTCCCATGTAGAGAGCCTCCTGTCATCCTCCTAGTGGGCACAGTAGACAGCTATGACTGTCCTCGTACAGGTAAGGAGACAGACTCACTTAGCAGGTGAGAATTGGAGCTGGGTCTGGGGCCAACTTCTTCCGTCCCTGAAGCCCTGTGCTCACTCACTGTCTTCAGGTGTCCAGACCTGTCCCCATGAGGGTCTGTCCTCTGGCTGCTTCTCAGGAAGTGACAGTGAGACAAGACCTTGTAGTAGACCTGATATCAGTGGGCAGAGGACGTCAGAGGGGGATGAAGCCAGGCATGTGGGACAGACCCGGACCGCTAGCAGGGCTTGCAGGAGGCCACACAGCTGAGTCCAGGTCCTGGGCACCGTTGTCTTCCTGAAAGGGGTGGGCTGCTCTGAGCTGCAAAGTCATGGCCAGGCCTGTCCAGGCAGCGGCCGAGCTCCACGCTGCAGCCCCGACAAAGCCAAAGGGCCCCCAGGCCAGCTGACGCTTTGTGAAGAAGGTGAATAACTGGATGTCTCTAAGTTCATAGAACAAAGAGCTATGTCCCTCCACGGGCCTGAGAAAGGAGTAAGAAGTCAATGTCTGTACGTGACCAAGAGGCAAAGCTTGCAGCACAGAACAAACCATGGTGACTACAAGCTTGGGTGAGGGTGTGCATCTCTGGACGGAAAGAAGGAGAGGCAGCCGTGGGTCAAATCCCACCGGGATATTCGGGGTGCTTCTACCTGTGACTTCAGTGCCTGTGGCCCCCTTGCTCTACGGGGGCTCTGGGGACACATCCTAAGGGCCTTCCCTGGGCAGGGCAGGCGGCCTGGGAGGGGCTTCATCACACGTAGTCCCCCTCCAGGAACCGAGCCCCTACCCCTTGCTGCGCTCCCAGTGGGTCCCACCAGATCTGCCCTTCTCCTGGAGAGGACAAAGCGTAGAGGAGCTGGGCTTCACCGACATGCCCGAACCGAACTCTAAAAAGCACCTCTTATCAGAGCCCCTGCGGCAGCCCACGTGCGGGATTTAAGGCCTCTCCATGCTGACCTTAAAGAGACACAGGCTTTGCACTGCCAGCCGTGGCCCGTGGGCCGTGGGCCAGTGCAGCCTTCAAGCCCACACAAGGGATGATTGTTCCCGGGGTCACAATGGGGCCTCTGAGGGGCAAAGTGCCTCTGGCCTGGCCGAGGGCTCCTACACACACGGGCATCCGCCCAGGGCATTTAGAATAACACGACTTGAGAAGAAGACTGAAAGTGATTTTCCCCGCTCTCTGCATGACTCATGGGCTTTGTTCTCATGGGCCTTGTTCAGCAGCCTCCAAGAACTGGGGTGCTGGAGGCAGGCGCTGGGGCTCCTAGCTGTGCCCTCTCTCTTCTCTCACAGGTAATCTGGGACAATCACAGTGCCAGGCTCTAGAGATGGTACCCAGAGAGGTTTGATACATGCAGGGAGTTCAGCTTCCAAGACGTCCTTCAGCCAGTTTGTAGTCAAGGAGAGCCTGGTAGGAGGCAGGCGCCCAGGGACGTGATGGGAGAAGCCTTGCCAGCAACACTGGCTGCTCAGTGCTGCTTAAAGCGCTTTACTTATGCACTTAATCCTCATGACAACTCTATGTGGTGGATACTGCTTAGACGAGGACTCTGAGGCGAAGAGAGGTTAAGTGATTTACCCAAGGTCACAGAGCAAGCAGGCGCGACTCGAGTTCCAAGGGTCTGGCTCCACGGCCCCCAGTGTTACCTGTCATGTGCCACATCTCATAGGACCAGGGGGCACAGACCTGCCGAGCGAGTCCTTCAAACCCACAACGCTGACAGACGACACAGAAGGTGCCAGACTACACACAGGGATTTCCAGGAAACGCAGGCGAAGCCCAACCCGCCAGGGAAGCGTGTCTGATATGAGAACACCTGCAGGCAGGGAGTCTTCCCCAGGCAGAGCCGGGACAATGATCCAGCCAGGTGGGGTGGGGGAGGGGAGGCCTCCAGAGGTCACGAGAGTCTGACATGGCCCTGAAGGCGAGTACCTGTTGGCGGGGCAGCTCTCCAGGTGAGAGATGCTATGGGTGTGGGCAGTAGCAGGGGTGGTGGGGGAAGAGCGGCGGACAGGCTGGGCTGGGGAGGTGGGATAGACCTGACCAGGTTTTGGTGAACAGAGATCCCATGGAAGGCAGCGGCTGAGGACACGGACCCTGAGCCTGCACACGTGTGTGACCTCTCAGCCTCAGGGCCCTTGCCTGCAGAAGGGGAATATTCATCCTGCCTCACAGGTTGTTGGGAGGATTCAAGAACTTGGTTCAGCTAAGCACCTAGGACCAAGGAAGGCTGAGGAAGTGTCAGCTGGGCTCACCATCATGGGAATGAAGGAGGGAAAGGTCTAGAATGATCCTAAGTCTCTAACCTGGGCAGATGATGGTTATTGGCATTGTGTTTATTAATTAACCATGGTCCTGACGTTGTCAGAAACTCGGACTGACACTTTTGCTTTTCCCCACAGAACTGAACATTTAATCAGCCATGACATACTTTAAAATAGCCCCACCTAGAGAGAGTGGCATAGACATATATACACTGCCAAACGTGAAGTGGATAGCTGGTGGGATGCAGCCGCATGGCACAGGGAGATCAGCTCGGTGCTTTGTGACCACCTAGAGGGG